TTTGATGTTCCTGATGTGAATAAAATAAAGTGGGCATAAGTTGACATGATAAAGCCATATAGGTAATAAATAATAAAAATCCTAAAGTAGAAGAACAGATACCAACTAACAGGGATCCACAAAATATAAATCAATTTATCATCGATATAGTGAAATAAGTAGAAATGCGAGATTTATTTGTTTTCCTCTGAAACTATAGCGGTTGTTCGAACTTTTCTTTATTTGACTTCTGATATTTTTGTATTGGTATATGATTATTTATATTTCTTATTATAGATGGTCACTGAAGATGAACGTCCGTGATATATTACAGTGAACATTATTAATTGCTAAAGGAGTATTGATATAGGCGGATATATAATAAAGCGTATAAATATTAGTAGTATATTTTTATGGTTTGCGTCATATACTATATCTATAAAAACACTGAGGAAGTTACTGTCAAGACTTCGGACTTCGTCAAAAATCGTATTGCATACGCAGAACAAATAAAAAAGTAGTCCTGTATCTATATTTGGCAGATGGTGTTGTCGGTTATATCTGCCTAACCCATAAGGTACTCATGTCGAATGAAGATAGAAAAGTGTTCCTTTGCATATATTAATTTCCACATAAAAAAATATCACAAAATAATTATATAAGTACACATACTGTCACAAATCATCCGCCATTTGGAGTTGTTACTAAAAACTATTAAAAGTGCAGTAGATTAAGTTAAAGTACATATTTATATCTTCTAGATTTCGAAGAAGGAACCCTAAAACTTAAGAGGAAGTCAATGTTTATGCGACGACAGCATTAAAAGCACCTGCTATTATGTAGACGACTATTTTACTGGTTTGTCTATAATAGAAGTGCGGATTGAGTTATATATCCGTTATTTTAATTATGAAGTTCTTAAAAATTTCAAAGATAATGAACGAATCAATGGAAATATATATTTATGTATACAAAATTATATTACAACAATACATTTATTTTATTATATTAGGCATTATTGGGTGTATTTATAAACTTTGTAAGCAAGAAACATTTTATCCGTGTTTTCCCCAGGTGATAATGTTTTTCTTTGTAAAACATGGACAGCATGAAATTCGAAAAAATATTTTGTTACAATAATACGCCTAAAAATCTACAGTGTCCTCCAGACCAGACCAGACTTCAAGGCAGAATATATTATACGAAATCGTCTCGAATCCCGACTTACACTATTTGTTTCATTTCTTCTAGTACTGAGAATAGTAAATAGAAATGGTTTACCCGATGGAAAATTTTTATCCATCCTCTATAAACAGAAACAGTAATATGGAATTCATAAAATATTGTGAGTTATCATTGTAAGATAAAGCGAGTAAGAAAATTGAAAAAACATCTTAGCGTTCAATACGTAATATGACACAAGGGGCATAAATGTATTGTCATGCTAGTAATATTATAAATGCTAAAGTTTGTGAGGGTCGTAGTTTGATAGATAGATAGATAGGTAAAGAGCTTTATTTTTCAAATTTTACAAATTATTATTCTACTATCCTGCAAAACTCCTGTCGGGGTTTCTCTGCAGGCACGTAGTTCTCTCTTATCTACTTACAATAGGTACATGCTTATATATTATTTTAGACAGTATTTTAACGTACACATAAAATACAGTATTCCGTTTTACAATATTTAAGTATTAAATACTATTAAATAAGGACAAGATTTTTTTGTTTATTAAGTTTCTAGGTAATATGTTTTTAATAAATGGTTTCTATAATTTATACAAAAGGATTTATATCTATTTTGATTTCTGATATGTTGAGGCATTTTATTAAATATTTCAGGCAATTTTAATTGTAACAATCGATATCCATAATAATTATTTAGATGTAGAGGTGGGGTTTCGTATTTCCCTTGTACACATTTCCTAGTCTCTATACTATGGCTTGTTTTCGTCATATGGTTTGATATCATATTGCTGTGGTTTTTAGTAGCTAATAAGTATTTATGTTTTTCTGATGCAGGTAGAATGTTACAAATTTTAAATAATTCTTTATAGTTGTCTTTAAATCTTATTTTTAGTTTTTCCCCTACAATAAATTTTAAAAATCTTATTTGTTTTATTTCAATTTTTTCTATATAAGTTTTAAAGGTTAAACCATAACATTCAAGGCCATAGCCGATCATAGAAGTTATGATTTTTCTTACTCTGTGAGGCAAAAATAACTAAATGGATTCAAAAGTAATTTTGTTAACAGATAGATAATAGAAATTAACAATTCACATTGTAACTGCAGTGTTAATAGTTTCTAGTAAAAATTGATAATACAAATCTATTTGGATTATGGAAACTATTTACTCGCAAGATTTGATTTGATCATGAATTCATACGGACAGCGTAGCAGGAAATAAGTAGTAGTAATAGTGAGCGAGAGATAGAGCGGGGGTGACATTGTTTTATACTATGTAAAGATATACTACCATACCGCACAGAGGGAAATAAGAATTTCAATAACAGTTAATATTGTTGAGCCGCGTAAAATCTGGTGGCATCGCTAGTATTTTATAAAAGTCCGAAACACAGTCGAACCATAAACCACCTGAATTTGACAGGTTCCTAATTACTGGCATATCGCAGTACGAGTTGGTACGTCGCATGCCATATTACGAGTAATTAATTTATTAATATTAATAATTAATTTGTTTGTTGCACATCTACTTGTTTATATCGGACTCGGTGACCTAGCGGTTTAGGACACCGCCTCACTTCCGATGGTCGAGAGTTCGATTCCTAGCACTACATAAACTTTTGTATTCATGAGTATGATTGTTTGTATCGGTCTGCGTGTTTTGTATGTATGTATGTATTTACGAAAAAAAGTATATGTAATGTATTTGTATCAGTTACCATTAAAATATAATTTTTGATATGTATGAGATGTATGAAAGAAATGTATGTACGTACATAAAAAGTTCATTTTTGAAATGTATATAATACCCATAACACAAGCTATAGCTAGCTTAAATTGGGTCTAGATGGCGCTGCGTGAATTTTCCTGAGATTATTAATAATAATGATTACGTTAATTGTCCTGAGATTATTTGTTAGTTTGAGCAGTTTTTTGCCTGCTCTTAGTATTGCAGGTACGCAAAAAACCACAACTACAACAACAAATATACATTATGTGTAAAATTTCTACCAAAAAAAATTATTACCTAAGTTAATACGGATAATGAAAACAGGTTAATTTACTTACAAGATTACACCTAAAATGCAATTATTATAATAATTTAATCGCTGTCAACCAGATGGTTCGTTGTACTACTACCAAAGGTCAAGTCTAAAAAGGAGGTGTCAATTTTCTTTTTGACTCCTATTTGAAGGTCTCAGTAGTTTAGCGGTTTAGCATACCGATTTACTTCCCATGTTTGTGAGTTTAATTCTTGAATCATATAAACTTTTCATTTCATATTCATAACAGTTTTTATTGGTCCGGGGTTTTTTTATGCTATAATAAGTACATAATTAAAAAAAAAAAATACAAAATTTCTAGGAAACTGTCCAGTATATTGGACTATATGTATATTGTCTGAAAATATATAAATTACGAATAATTAAATTCGTTAAATCCTAAGCACTCCATATTAAATTAAAACTTAAGTGACAACAATTATAAAACACTCACCAACAGACGTCCGGACTTGGGAAACATTTTACATAACATACACATAAAATTTCTAGATGTAATAAAAATCAGAACTCTCATTTTCAAATTAGTTGAAGAATAACGTTTATCTTTATTAATTAATATAACCTTTGAAATATTAAAATGTTATATATCGCAAGGTAGAAATGGAAGGAACTTCTGTGAATTGCTAATTCGATTTAGAGTAGATTGAAGTTTTGTGGTGTGACCGACCAGCAGCGAACGCGTCTTCGTCACTATTTTTAATGCGACATCAGATTGCTTTATGTCAATCATTTGTATGAATTTGTGATACGAGTGTATTAAATATACATATGTGTATATAACAATAAATGCTCAGAAACTCAGGTCAAACAATCTTATTGCTATCATGAAAAACTTAGAATCTCTTGACATGGATAATACACATTATACTTGAACCCGACTATTCCCTGTATAATACAACAAATATTTCAAAATTTCAGTTCCTAAACTCTTGTGTAAATGGTGGGAAGAAAATCATTTATCTATCATCCTTTTTTATTAAGATGATTATTGATTTTATACTTTTGTAGACAACTCCATAGAGCTTTTCCACATTACAAATGAAAAGAACATTTATAATGTACTAAACTATATAACACCCGCAGCTACAGCTGACCATGTACACATTGCTTCTACATATAGCGACAAAGATGTGTGATCTCTCACGTTTGATATGATGGATCACTTCTATTGACCATTGACGTATAATTAAATATTCTATTAACATCGCGTTAGCATGTGAGGAATTTAAGTATAGAACCAGTATGCAAATCCAGTATCATTTCAGTGTGTTCATGTATAAGTCAGAATGCTTATGAATAACAATAAGGTTGTCCCGCGCTAGTTTGGTAATAGCTTAACAACAGGCCGTAGGCACTGAATCAAAGTTTGAGATTCGTAGTGATAGATGTTAGCTGTATCTGAAATATAATTTCTTGAACATCCTTGCTAATATTATTATACCAGAGCCACTTGGTTACGATTACGTTATAATTGTATAATTTCGAATTGCTTCTAAAGACAAACTATCAAAGAAAGTTCTACATAATTTTTCAGAGTTTATTAATACTTTCTTCACAAAATGCAAAAATATTGTAAAACGCTACTATAAGTTACATTACACCAGACTATTCGAAAAATTATAATTGTGAGTCGAGGAATAAATTTTGAGTTCTATACAATTTTTACTTTCCCGACAAGTACTTTTTACTATTAGAAAAGAAACCTTTTCTTCAAATGTTACGTCTATTTTATTTCTACAAATTTTTAGGAAAAAAAAATATATTAACTCACCTTTCACTAATGTAGCCAATAGCAATCCAAAAAGCGCGGGAAATACTGCCATCATGCTTGTTCCACTTTCAAAAAATACTATTCGAACACATACACTACCAACTTGATAGAAACACTCGCATCTAGCCGATGCGTTCGAAAACGACCACTTTTTTCCCTCCAAAAAAAAACCCAACCGGTTCCCGACTGGACACTCTTTTCGTCTTGTTCTAACACCAGTTGTTCAGCAGCTATCCCGTTCTGTAACAAAAAAGGAACTATGTTGGATGGTTTTCTTTTTATTATTTTATAAGGGCAAGGTGTGTAGGATTATTCAAAAATTACGTAATTTGACGTAGCCAGTATGTTTTGAACTACGAAGAAGCTTTCATAAACGTTTCTTGGTATCTAGCAGTACGGTGCGAGAGGGGAACGGCAGATCATAGACAATCGGTCTTTTTATGAAGGATGAACGCATAAATTTCTCTGAGGGCAATATTTTTTATCCGTCGAGCTCAAGGAACCGTTGTACATAATTCCAAATTGTTGGTATCAAATTAAATTGTTCTATAAACTTGTTCCGTTTGAGATCGTTACTTCAGTTGGTTGTGGAGTGTTTTCATTTTACAGTTTTTAATAATAGATTTACTGTAAATACAAATGCCGTAGGAAAATAAATGTCCCGTATTTGTTTGTTTAAAAATTCAAAACGGTTCTTAGTCACCTACCTTATCATTTATTGTTAGTGTAAGAGTAGATAAATTAGTTACTATGAAATATAAGATACAAACAAGAGGCATTTCCTCAATTCGTTAGAAGGCTTGTTAGTCTCGTCACTTCTATAGACAAAGCCGGATCTCAATAAAACTCGTTAAACTTGTGCTAAAGTTGTATCAATTTCACAAATAGAAACCAGCGTATCTCCTCCAGTGAACACAATGAGTTATAATTACAAGCCAATAAATATTTGTTTTGAGTTAGCAGAAATTAAGATGTATACAGGTTGTAACGAAAAGGGTAGGTATTACCATTAGAAATTAAATTATTTAATAAAGCGTTTTAATAAATCTTCATATAAATTAGCGCTGGTATTACATCTTTACATTGTATTACATAACAACATTCCCCTTCGTGTCTGATTATATGTTCACGATAGTTTCAAAAACTACTAAAAAATTTTTATCTTTTTTCATATATCAATTTCATGTATATTGGTGGGATATTGTAGTAACAAAAGTGTTAAAACGTTATAAATATTATATTATTTATAATACTATTAGTATATTTTTCTAACCAAGACTTATTAAAGTAATAAATATTCATTATACAACCGTTTGACTCTAATCAACGAGACGCAATGGTTGACTGGAGAGAATGTCATTAGGCATTAAGTCCGCCATGTATACAATTTTGTGTGCAAAACAATAAATAAATAACCATTTTTGTATGTGGATAACAAATTATCAATGACTGTCACAAACTATTTATTACTCTAATACAAATATTTAAGTTGTAATTTAATAAAGTTAAAATTTAATATCAGTTTAAAATATATTTAATCACCATGTATGTAGTGACAATATTATTAACAAGATTCAATTAAGAAGTTCTTATATATATATTAGTTACTGTACTACTTCTTGTTGTTTGTGTTATTTTATACTACTGAGAATAACAACCGACTGGCTTCATTAAAAATGGTTGTTACCATCTTTTATTAAGAATAATATTCTATAGACATGAACTACTCTATCTACTGAATAAGAAGTGTAATAAAAAATACTATCTAAAAGTCTTCTTCACCACACTTACTTGAAATTTATCATTATATTTCGTCCAGTTTACATACCATCTTTTAAAATTAATATTAATAAATTATAGCTTACATGTTATTCTGATGTATAAGCTGTATTACTGAAGAATTTCATCAAAATCCATTCAGTAGTTTTTTGCGTGAAAGAGTAACAAACATCCATCCATACTCACAAACTTTCGCGTTTATAATATTAATATGATTTTGACATAAATTATTATTTCTATGTCAAACTAATTCATACTACAACACACAACAGGGATAGCTAATACCGTGGCAGGTGGCTACAGTCACGTACATTGATATGTAAACAGTTTAGTATTCCCCAGAGCAGTGTGTTTCGGGATCTTAACATCTTGTAAGGTAAAAGCAGTAGCAATACACTTCATTGCCACACATATGAATAAATATGTAAATGTCCGCAACGCACACATCGATGTGCTTTCCTTTATTTTGCGTCTGCGCTGACGTTCACACGCATATGTAAGTACCGTTTGCAAAATAGATCAGGATAATTAGCTACGTATTTGTGAAAAATAAAAATAAATGTTTTTACTATTTAGGAATATCAAAATATGATGTACATTGTGTATATTTGTTGTGTATTGTATTTTGTTTGACTGGACTAAAGTAATTGTATATCTGTTTTTATTTTTTCTTATTATTACAGTGCCTTTTGTGTGTGTGCCTTTAACGTGAATATTTTTTTTATCTATCTATATATATAAAAAGAGTTTAATACCCCCTGTGGACAAACAATATGTGTGTAAACCAAAATATTGAATTAGGTAAATAAATAAGCGAACAATTATTATTACTTATTTACTTATATAATTATCAAACAAAAAAATATAAATAATCTAATTCCACTTGTGTTGCTGACGTTATAATAACATGGATGCGCGGGCGCATCCGCCGCCAGAAATAGACCGTCTTTGTCCAAAACAAGACGGAATCGAACAGAAACAACACTGAATTCCTTTCCTCTTTCTCTAATACATATAAATAATGTATATATACTCGTACGGTATATTTTTATACAATTAAAATATGAGGAAGTTTAAAATGAATTGGTAATAATCACATTCAGCATTAGCATAATCCTTTACCATTGACTAAAAACGAAACACTACCTCTATAAATACACCTCTTGTGTTGTCTTGTCAGTTCGTCACGGCTGAGAACTAAGATAAATAAATAACCCTAGATAATTAACACAGCGCCATCTAGTCCCACAGTAAAGAGAGCTCGTGTTATGGGTACTAGACAACTGATATAAATACTTCGATTTTTTTTGTAATTACACACATAATGTACATAGAAAATACCAGAACGATATAAACAATCATACTCCTGAATACAAATGTTTGTACCGTGGGAGGAATCGAACCAGCGACCATCGGACGTAAAGCGGTGTACACTGCTAGACCACCGAGGTCGTCACGTTGTAACTAAACCAACCAAAATACAATGCACCTGCCGCTTAGTACCAAAGTACTACCACTATGGTAGTTACAATGTGGTTATATTATAGTATTTTTTATGTTATAGAAATGGTAAGAAAACTGATATCGCTACATTTATAAACAGTAATTTGGACATCATGTGAGGCCCGTAATACCATTCCTGTGTCGCCATTCCAGAAGACTAAGACTTCATTCCTCTGGTATCATATAATTTCACTGTCTTATATATCAACCATAAGTATGTTTCGGTTTGCGCGCAGTTTGGCGACTGAAATAGTAAATATTATGTGGAAAGAGTGTGTCATCTATAGACTTGGCAAAGTATGTATGTATACTACATGTATAGGGGAGTTAATACATTTGGGTGAAAACTATTACACGAAAGAGTTCGTGACCTAACTTTACTTATTATTTACGTTGAGTATACTATTTTATGTTACGTATTAGAAGTAAAGAAGTACTGAATGAATCGATGCGTACAAACGCTAGTTTGAATAATTAATTTTAGAGAGTATTACATAAAAACGATATACTCATGTATTGTAGTTGGTAATAACAGTGAATCACATATTGGTGATACATTTCTTTATAAATACACATTTGTCGCGCCGTGGGAATCGAACGCGGAATGACGGAAGACATTCATCAGCGGACGTCAACGGGGTACACGAATGTCGCGGGAGCTCTGTTCTGTACTCTTCTTTAGACAATATATTAATATGCACACGACTATAATGTCAGATGGAATGGGCTATACAGAGATTTTTATATAGTGAACATGGTGGCACTCAGTTAGTTTGCCTAATCATTTTCGATATGATTTGGGAAGTGGCAAACATATTGCTGTCACTCTAATCCATACTAATATTACAAATGCGAGAGTATGTCTTTCTGACTGTTTGGTACCATTGTACTAGTAAATATAAATCTTATTACAATATGACATACATCTTATTGCATATGATAAATCCGTCCTAGGACTTCTATATTTTATGTCAATAAGTAGACGAATACGCAGAAGTTAACCATAATACATTGCACATCTCTTTAGTAAAGAACGTAGCCAATATAAAATAAAAAAAAACATATATTATATTTATTTATATATATTATTTTTTTATTTTATTAAGCAACTACTAGCGAGCCCTTTGCATAAAATTTTTACCCTATCAATTCGAATTTTACGCGGTATCCTTGGGGACCTCATTGTTAACTCCTGGTGTGTATGTGTGTACTAAAATCAAAACTTGCTAAATCATAATAAACTCTGCTGAAGCGAGCGTAAACCACAGGCGCAAACGCTAGAGCATTGAGTACAACAAAGAGATTCTCAATTTAAAAAAAAAACTCCTGGTGTGTTCCCCTGTCTTATGTCCCTGATAATCAGGAGACTTTCCCTCTTTTATACCATAAAATCTACATTCCTCATATCAGGCTGAATAATAATTATTATATTATAAATTACATTGTTTAATAAATTTTAAATAAACTGTAAAACCCAAATTTGAACTTGTTTTCCAAATTGTCTTCAATACACAAACACATAATCTTTCATAATACCACTTAACATCCGGTCTAAACCTCCCCCACTTGTGTGACGTATTTGTTGTATCTAGGTTGCTAAGCAACCATTGATTGAGGTCAACCAACCCCATACAAGCTATGGTATTAATCCACTAATGTGATATGAATTAGTTCAGCATCGATTGATAGTGAATTTTTTTTCTAAACACAAGCTGTTTTTTGCAGTGAGATTCTGTTGCCTTTTATTCCCGTAGGATTTGATATTAAAACTATTGTTACTACTAATTTATAAGCACAATATTTAAGCATTACGTCCTCGCTAACCGTTAGGTTGACATAACACTTTAGTTATGCAAATTACCAGTTTTCTTAAAAAAAAAAGATGATTAGAACTTTTCTTATACTGCTATTAGAATTTATATATACTGCTTATAATAAAAAAAGTTTTAACTAGGTTA